GGCATGGTGGTGCGTGCCTGTAATCCTAGCACTTGGGAGGCAGAGGCAGGAGGATCACTGCGAGTTTGAGACTAGCCTGAAAAAAATTAAAAATTAAAAAGAAAAACAAAAACGACTATACAGATATGTGGTAATTTATTTTAGTCAGGCAACTTTGAAGATATATATAAACACAAGGCATTGGTCTGTAACTTCTACTGTTTTATGTTCATTTCAGAGGAAAATACTTGTTAGACAAGGAGACAAAGGAGAAAGTTTAAGCAGTACAGTGTATTCTTCACAAGACAGTTTTAGAAACAGTGTGGAGGTGAGCAAGAGGTATGGGCTTGGAGAAGTGCAACAGCAAGTGCCTCCAAGTCCCATTAAGGCCTTGGACTTGAAGAGCTACTGAAGTGCGTCAGTAGCACAGTTGAAGTAATGATCACACAGCTTTGGTGGAGACATCAGGACAGGCTGGGGAGGGGAGGGTGGGGGCCTGCGTTGATGCAGTTGTGGGAATGGTGGAGGAATTTGCAGTAGAACTCCAGGAGCATGCAGTTTGAAGTGCCCTGGGAGGCATTTTAGCTTAAGGCAGTTTGGGAAAGAAACCTTGCTGTGTGATAGATTTGATCAATGATTCATTTGAGAGCCTGAGTCTGATATTCTAGGGATTGGAAATAAATGAAAAATACATAACGTATGTTGTTTCCAGTTTTTCTTATTGACACCCCCCTTCCTTTTTGTGGTACTATGGATTAAACCTAGAGTCTTTGGGCTACATTCCACTCCCCCACCCCGCCCCCTTGGGAACAGGGTCTTACAAAGTTGCTCATTTGCCCAGGCTGGGCCTGAACCTGCAATCCTCCTGTCTCATCCTCCCAAAGTGCTGGGGTTATAGGCATGTGCCACCGTGTCAGGCTGTCTTTTTCTTTTAGATAGAACTTTGGAGTAGGAGATTAAGAAAATTTCATTGTTGTTGTTCAGAAGTTCCTTTAGGAAAATGGACTTCTTCCTAGAGTTAATTAGATCATCTTTGAGTCTCTCCAATAATTTAATATCTTTATATGAAAAAAATAAGTTAGTTGAATGAAAGGGTTAAAGCTGCCCTTTGAAAGGTTCTTTTCATTTGTTCTTTATACAAATGTTTCTGTTAGAATTCTTCAAATTCTTTAGCTGTGTAGTGAAGAATAAGGAGGATGTGACCACTTCCACTCGTTTCCTCCTCCACTGCAACCTTGGGCAGTGGTAGAGCATCATTGTTTTGTGAATTTGCCTCTGCAATAATTCTCCCCCCTCTTCTTAAAAACCTCAATGCTGAAGAACAATGTAGAACATTCTTTATCGCAATAGACACTAATTGTGTTCTTAGTTGGGATCTTGCTGTCATAGCCACAATAATTGTGTCATTGTGCAGGGAGGCTGGGTCACAGTAGTTACTGTGCAGAATGATGAATGCCGGTTACTTGTGATGCGCTGTTCCCTCCATCTGTGGTTGAGAACACACAGGCACTGTGATTTGCCTGGAAACTGATCAAACTGGTATAAAATAACATCATCTGTTAAGCAAGTTAGCAGTCAATAGAACCATTGACCTTTTGTTTTATGACAGAATTTTAATGAGAGACTGCAAATAATAAAGATTGAAGATGCAAGAACAGCTACCAAGTGTGTGTTGCACGTTAGCCGATGTTTTGTAATTTATTTTGGAGTCAAGTTGACCTGTGTAGAAGTGAAGGAACTGGAAGTGCATGTCTGCTCTGGCTCAGAGTGGCAAGTGTTGTGTGAACACAGTAAATTACAGATTAGATGAGTGAGAAGCGGCCATGGTGTCAGTTGGGAACCAGGCTTTGTGGAAACATCCCCTGCATGCAACCTGTGGATTCTGAAAGTCTTATCCCTGTGAATAAAGTAGTTTCCCTATCTACTTCTTTCACCTACATAGGAAAAATATATTTTATATAATTATTGGAACGCAACAGTAATTATTTTAAGAGTTCTTGCTGAAGTAAGAGGAAGTGCCCTGCTCTTTTGAGTAACTTTCATGGGATTTTGCAAGGACCTAAAGAATTGCAGTTTCAGAGTTGTTGTTTTGTCTTTCCACATACTACAGTTTCTCCCCATGCCACAGCCCTTTTTTGAGCCCTTTTTGGGCTGCTCACTAGCATTGCTCATTAGAAGGGACGTGGGGAATGCATTTCAAGGCAGCCCTCTTTATGCTGTTTCTTCAAGCTTTATATCCAGCTAATATAAATTGAGTTGTTGCCTAAAGTGAAGTTAAATGTTATTTATCTCCCTACTGTCCTACTTAGTACATGTCTAAATGATTGGTTTTCAGAAAAGTAGATTTTGACTAACAGATTTCTATCCTATGAAGAGTTAGTGATTGAAATTTGTTGTGATTTATTCGAGTTTTTATGATTTAATGTCTTTTTCATGATTCTAGAACTTAAAGGTGACAAGGTGGTGGTAATTTTGGAGAGGGAAAATAAACTAATTAGGACAAGTGAAGAATTAGGTCATTGCTCATTGCAGATACAATTCCTTTTTGTTTCTTATTTTAATTCCTTATTAAAGTAATAAAGAAATAATGTATATAATCCTACCTTTAAAATTGACACAAATAATGTTTGTTCAATGCAGAAAATGTGGGTAACATTCTTTTTCAAGAAAAAAAGAATTCAAGAGCTCACCAGTTACTCTGTACTTGCCATCTCAAGTACCTGTCCTTATGTTTTGGTGTAGACACCCTCTGCTAGGTTTAGACCATTTTCTATGAACCTTGTTTTAGAATTAAGGCCATTTGGAAGCACAATAGTCATTTTAAATTTCTCCCATAGTCCAAGCACAAATTTCCATAAAAAAATTTTTGTCAATATTTTCTGATATAAACTACATTGAAAATTGACCTAAAAATAGAGCTGTGGATTGTTAACATTAAGAACATGCCCCACCATTTCTAATGTCTACAAATTTTGAGAGTTTTTTTATCATTGCAAAATGCTTACATCTTTACACAGAAATATATAGAAAAGATTTCTAATGTAGAAACTAAAAATAGATTTTCATTTTCATACAGGTTTACTGGCTTTAATCAAAGTGAGATAGATTTGGTTTTTTTTAGTGGTTGTATTAATGGGACTATAATTAACAAATTGCCTATTTTTACATATTTTTCCCTTAGATAAATGGAAGTGAGTTAAAATATTCTTATGAAAAATTACTTTGTTTCTCTTTTTTAAAAAATATCTTCCTTTTCCCCTTTTGACCTATCAACAGCTTCCTCCATATAGCTAACTGCTACTGTTTTCTGCTTTCTGTGACAGCTAGTCGATGGCGGAGTCTCTTCTCTTCAACTGCTTCCCTGGCTTTTCCTTATAGTCCTGTTGCAAGACTCAGCCCTTATAGCAATGGCATTAATACTCCCAGCTTCTCTAAAACCTCAAATAAAGCAATACTAACACCTGAGAAAACAGGTAATATTTCAACTTGTTGACTAACTGCTTGCTTTGCAATAGTCACTAAGCACAACTCAAATGTCTATCTTTCATTGAAAAGCTAGAAGGCAATGTTATAATGGAGAGTTTGTGCCACGTATTTACTCTAGGTATAAAGGGACTAGCATCAGCTTGTACTCTAGCACCACTGGTCTCTGCTCTCAATGGCGTCCCAGTAAGTCTCCTGTCTCCCCTCTTCAGCAAAAGTTCACAAACATAGTTTCATGTTTCCCCATGCTTCATGTGCCTTTTACAATTAACATGTTCATGATAGGAGTGTAATTTGTATGTCTTATTACTGGGAAGCCTGAACCACCAGTAGTTACATGTGTGACTGTCCCCATCAGGCAGCTTTTTATTAATTTTATTAGTAAAAAAACCGATAAAAGTGATTAGATCCATTTGTACTATCAGTGGTACCACCAATGAGACAGTCATGCATGCACCAGCAGTGGTTGAAGCCAGTGGGAATGTGTTACATATCGAGTACAATTTAGTTTTTATAGTGATTAAAGATTGAAAGCCTTTTGTTTTTAATTTTTATTTTTCTAGTAGATTTTTTTTTATTAATCCAGTGCAATGTTAAAGGAATAGTCACAGATTCTGCATGAGATAAGGATCTCACCATTTCCTTGTTTTTCTCGACATTAGCATGATTCCATTCTCAAGACTTTCTTCCGCATTAATACTTTCTTTCTCAGTTCTTTTATCTTAAACCATTTTTTTTCACTTTTGTGAGTGACTGCAAGTCTTCTGTGACCACTCACTTGTCTAAATTATGAGAATTTTGTATTTTGTGAATATATGTATGATATACACTTGTAGCATGACTGTTGTATGCCCAGTAAAGAATGAACTAGGTTAAATTTTAATTTTAAAATATGTAATCAATTACTGCCAGAGACAAGTATTTCTGGTTATTAATTAAAAGTATATGTTTGGGCCGGGGATTTAGCTCAGTGGTTTCGCCACCTGCTGCGCAAGCGCAAGGACCCGAGTTTAATCCCTGGTACAAAAAAAAAAAAAAAAAAGTATATGTTAATTGTGTATTCTCATACCATACCTTCAGATACTAGCCTTAGTGAGTTTTTTAATTGTGATATAAAGCACATAACAGGTCCGGGGGTATGATTCGGTGGTAAAATCCTTGCCTAGCATGTATAAGGCTCCGAGTGTGATACCTAGCACTGCAAAACAAACAAACACATAATATGAAATCTGCCTTTTCATAGGTGGTACAAGGTGATTTTTTTAAATTCTGAAACTTGACTTTGAACAAACAGTAAATAAATGGTTTTGTATTTGAATTATGAACTTGTAAGGATGTATTTATTTTCCTGACCATAAAATGGTAATGTTTTGTTTGTTTTTTTCTTTTTTATTATTAGTCCATGTTTGTAATAATGTTTTGGTCATTTTGTGACATTATGAAAACAGGAAAATAAGCTGAACTGTATATATGTGCATTCTAAAGCATACACAGATGTCAGGTCTTCAGATAATAAGCGTATTTACTTTGTGTCTTAGGTTACACTTCCAGGGGCTCCCCTCTCAGTCCCCAGTCATCTATCGACAGTGAGCTGAGTACTTCAGAACTGGAGGATGATTCTATCTCCATGGGATATAAGTTACAAGACCTTACTGATGTTCAGATCATGGCTCGTCTGCAAGAAGAAAGTAAGTTCTTCTTAAACTAGCAAAGTGAGATTTCCACTTGAAATACAAGAGGCAGGGGAGGCTTAGGTGCTCCTCGCTAGGTGATGAGAAGACAGGCCTGTCTTTGTACTGTCCTATTTTGTAGGACTTTGTAGGTGAAGCAGTTGCATGCCTCTCACACCCTTAGCAGCGTCTTAAGGTGTCAGGCACACCCTGATCAGCATCAACTCATACATGGACATTGCTGGTTGGCCAGCATGGAAACAGGTTCCAGTTTTCTGAGAAACAAAACAGCAACTTCCAGTTTCCCAGAGCATTGAAAATTTGTGTTTACACAAAAACCTGTACATGAATGTTTTTAACAGCTTTGTTTTGTAATAGCTAAAACTGGAATTGGCTTAGATGGCCTTCAGTAGGTGAATGGTTAAGCAAATTGTGTTACGTATGTACCATGAAGTACTACTGAACAATAAAAATGAACAAACTATTGTAATAGCATCTTGGATGGAGCTTCAGGGAATCATACAGAATGAAAAAAGATGATTGTAAAAGGTCACAGAATGTGTAATTCTATTTATATAACATTTTGAAATGTCCAAATTCTAGAAATAGAGAAGAGATTAACTATTGGGAATAAAGGATGGGATGTGGGATCTCAGAGGGGAGAGGAAAGTGGATGTGGATGTGGTTATTAAAAGGGCAAAAAGGGATTTTTTTTGGTTTTGGAACTACTCAGTATTGTTACTGAGGTTGTGATACACAAACCTGTTGATACCAAAATTGTAAAGAGCTTAATTTGAACATATACATGGAGGAGTAAACTGGGAAAAGCTGAATAAGGTGGGTATATCAACTGCTAATACCCTAGTTGTTATGCTAGTCAGTAATTTCACAAAATGTTATCACTAGGGGATACAGTATTTCTTAGTGTCACCTGCAAGTCTGTAGTATCCTAAGAAAAATTCAGTTAAAAATGTATGGATATACTTCAGTCAGTAATTTTGGAAGAGTAGAAAATTGGAAATGGGACAGTTTATCACTGGTTCTGCAATAAAATTACAACAGATACGAGTGTGAACTACTTCAAGGGCATCAACAGTATCAAAGAGCACAGTTAGGTGCAGATCACAGAACTTTGCTAAGTTTATTTTGGAGTTGACTTTTCAAGGCCAGCATAAGTAGGAACAGTCACCTGTCATTGAAGCACAGCAAGTTCCTGCTTTCAGAATTAATCGAGGATACTGAGAGAAATATAGTAATATTTATGCCAGATTTAATAAGATACATTTTGAGGTGAAAGGTGATTATTTTCTATCATTAACAATAATTTAAGTACTCATTTAAGACTACATGGCTCAAAGATTCAGAGTCAGTTTCAGAAATTAGGAATAGCTAGCTTTTAAAAGAATTGTGGTATGGGCAATAAGTTAAATAATGAAAAACTTGCACTTAAACTATTTTTAAGTGGCTTAGGAAAGGATGGCAAACCTTTTAGAACTTTCAATGCTAAAAACACCCTGCTGTAACATCTGTGCCATGGGTTCACCACCACTGATTTAGGATGACCTAAAACTATTGAAGTATCAGGATACTTTGAAAGAGATAATATTAGTAACAAAAAAGAATTTAAAAAAATGACCTTGGTAGGAAATATTTGTACCTCAGGTTTTAAACTTTGAAAGTTGGATATAGGAAGTAGACTTTTTTATTCATTTTTTTATTTTTTGAAAAAAATGAAACAAATTTTCATAACCAAATAATAAGAGAATAATAATAGTTATCACACTGTGTATCGTTATCTTCAAATTAGTACAAAATGTAAACCAAAAAGAGTCTTACAAAAAAGGAACAGATAATAACACAAACTTTCTTTTTACGAAGTAAGATAAGCTATTAGTGTAAATGAAACAAATTAGTGTATATCTTACAATATTGCTTGGGTACAGATTTGATTATTTTAATCTTTCTCACTCATGGCAACCCATGATATGATGATGATGAATATTTCTTTCAAAATTCTGTTTCCTAAGTGTCTTACTTTTCTCTCCTTGCTGAGACAAAATATGCGACACCCAAAGTTAAAGGGGGAAATGTTTATTTAGCTCACAGTTTGTAGAGGTTTCAGTCCATAATCAGCTGGCTCCAAGGCAGAGTGGCACATGGCAGTGGGGTACCACTTCATGGGGGTGGAAGACAGCAAAAGCAAGCAAGCAAGTAACGAAATTTAACAGCATCTTGGTGCTCCTTTTATCTTATTTAAACTACTTAGGGCCAGTAGCGCTCACACCTTTAATCCTAGTGCCCTTGAGCCTAGCATTGCATTGTGAATCATTTCCAGCATCACGCATTCTAGATCAAGCCACCTCTGCAAAAGCCTATGACCACATGAGTCTTTGGGGGGACATCTAGACACAAACCGTAACATTCTGCCCCTGGCCCGCTAGAGACTCAGGCACATTCCTTTACACAAAAGCCATTTAGTCCATCTCTAAAAGTTGTCAAACTCCTGACAGTTTTAGCATTGCTGAAAAGTCCAAGTCCAAAGTCTCCTTTGAGATTTAAGGCAAACTCTTAGCTTCAAGCCCCTGTACTAACCGAAAGAAAGTTAAACACTTCTCACTTTCAATGGCACAAGATAGACAAACGCATTCCAAAATTTACAGACAGGATACAAAGGAAAGGAAGCAAAGCAAGTTCAGAATCCAGCAGGGCAAACTTTAAATTCTATAGTTTCACTTCCAGTATTCCTGGCAATCTGTGGCAAGTTGTGAACTCCAGAGGGCTTGGGTGGCTCTGCCCCTACAGCACTTCAGATAGTTGTAGCTCCCACGGCTTCTCTTTTGGGCCAGCTCTGCTTCTTCCTTGCAGCTTTCCTTAGATGATCCACACTCCTGGCTTCTCCAAACTTCTGGGATCTCTACTGCACTTTCAGCTTCACACCCACAGCTTCACACACTGCCCTATCAGGAGCACACTGCCTGGCCTCCCAGGTCTTCTGAAATCTGAGTGGAAGCCTTCCTGACCCCACAACTCTTGCATTCTGCATGCGCCTAAAACTAGCGCCACATGGACAACGCCAAGGTCTGATGCCAGCTGGAGCAGTAGCTAGTCTTGTTCCTCTCTTGGCTGTAGGGATTGAGTGCCTGGATTGCTGAGCACTCTGAATCCAGTTCTGAGGAACAAATTCTCTAGGCCACCACCATTATGGAGCACTGGGCTCTGGGCTTTCTTCTCAAAGCAAAGTCTTTCACTTTTGCAATTTTGAGGCTACAAAGGGTGGAGTCCTATTGCTTCTTGTGATGCAGGCTGTCTTTTCTATTCTGTTCCTTTTCAGCAATCAAGATCTCTTCTGCTTTGTTTTTGCAGACCGCAACTTTACTGGAGCTTTCTTTCTGGCCAAACACAAAACATTTAAAATCATTCTGCTGGACTCTGCTCTTGATTCTCAACATAAATCTGTCTAAAAGCCCCCAACAGTAGCCATTGTACCATCTCAACATTAGATTGTCTTGAAATTTCTTCTGCCAGATTAGTCTGCTGTCCTTAGTCTCAGTCTCAGGCAAAGTTTCTGGACATGAGCAAAATGTAGTCAAACTTTCTGCCAAGATATAACACACATTGTCTGGAGTCCAGCAGCCAGTGTAGTCCTTCTTCCCAGTGGAAACCTCTTGAGCCTGGTCTTTACCTGCTTTCTGTCTTCAGTCTCCCATACTGAACAGCCTAAGGTGTTCCACTTCTACTTCTTCAGCGGAAGTCTGAACCTTTCCTGACTCTTCCCTTTCCCACAAGCCAGTTCCAAATGCTCTTGTGCCACATGGCCAGGTAATGTCCCAGCAAAGACCCTACTTTTCTGGTACTAAATTCTGTCTTAGTTACTTTTCTCTCATTTTTGAGACAAAATACCGAACACCCAAAGTTAAAAGGGGAAAGGTTTATTTGGCTTACAGTTCATGGAGGTTTCAGTGCATAATTGGCTGGCTCCAAGGAAGAGTGGGAGGGGCAACAATTCATGGTGGTGGAAGACAGCAAAAGCAACAAGGGATCTTAACAGTGTCTTCCTACCCCTTTTATTTTATTTAGACTATTTAAGGTCGATAGCACTCACACCCTTAATCCCTAGTGCTCTTGGGCCTAACATTGCACCATAAATCACGCACTCTAAATTCGGCCAACTCCAAAATAGCTCCACCTCATTTACATGAGGCTTTGGGGGACATCTAAACACAAACCATAATATGAAGTATCTCGGGATTTGAAAAGGAATTATTTGGGGGAAATTGATAGATACTGATGGGTAGTTATAGGAGGTACTATATATAATCTTCACTAGAATGTGGGCAATCATTTTTCAGCACTGAATTGTCTAATATTAGATACCTGTTTGGTAGATAAATGTGTTTTAGGAGATTTCAAAAACTTAAAAACAAATAATGAGTCTATTTGAATATTTTTGGCACAAATATTTGATTAGTTATAATTGGATGTTAGCTAGATTGAACTCTCCTAAGATAATACTGTTGTTGTTGTTTCATAGGTCTCAGGCAAGATTATGCTTCGACTTCAGCATGTGTGTCAAGACATAGCTCCAGTGTGTCTCTGAGTTCAGGAAAAAAAGGGACATCCAGTGACCAAGAATATGACCGATACAGTCTGGAGGATGAGGAAGAATTTGATAATTTGCCACCACCACAGCCTCGTCTCCCGAGATGTTCACCTTTCCAGAGAGGAATTCCCCACTCACAGACTTTTTCTAGCATTCGGGATTGTAGGAGAAGCCCCAGTTCCCAGTATTTTCCTTCAAATAATTACCAGCAGCAACAGTATTATTCACCTCAACCCCAAACTCCAGATCAGCAACCAAATAGGACCAATGGAGGTAGGTTGTATTATACAGTCAGTATAATTAATTGCTAAATGTTTCCCAGATTTGATAAATCCATCCTGAAGACCTTATCAGTTTTATCTAAGTTCACATCTAAACTGACCAACTTCTGGTTATGTGCCTCAGATTTATAGATGTATAGCTTTGAGGAAACTCGCATGACTTAACTGACTCAGAACAGGTTAGAAATGTGGAGCGCCTTTATGTTATTTCATTCCAGGTGTAGGTTTGGCAGGGTTGTTCAAGTTGAGGAGTTCATAGTCAAGCTCAGTGCTGTCAGAGGCCCTCAGTTGCATCGTTCTGCACCTTTGATGCGTCAGTCTTACTGCCTGCTCCTGGCACAGTGTGATGGTAAGTGTGGATGATGCTGGGGAAGGATACTGTTCTTACACATCCAGATTTAGAGGAAGTTTGGAATGTATCTTTCTGATTTCCTGGCATGTAGAATTAAGATATATGTAGCAGTGATTATGGAGCCTGGTATTTGGAATGGTAGTAGGAAGTTGATCTCTTAACGTCACCAAGGTGAGTTTGAGTATCTGTCTGACGCCCTCCCTCTTTTCTTTTCTCCTTCTCTCCCTCCCTTCTGTTCTTCATCATTTATCTTCCTGTCACACTCCCAGCAGTTAGATTCTTTGACTTTTAAAAACTCTAAGGAAAGCAGTAATGTGGCATTATAAGTCTGTTCTCTTTTTGTATTAATGATCAAGCAGATCATCACATGCAAATCCTGTAAAAGATGGAGAAACAAACCACTTAAAAGCTTTGTATTTATGCAGTTATTTTATTGTTACATTGTCCCATTTCTTTTTTTGGTACCGGGTATCAAACTCAGGACTTTGCGGTTTCGAGACAGGCAGCGGAACCACTGAGCTAAATCCCTGGCTACATTCCGTTTCATAAAATGAAGCCTAGAAGTGATCAAGTAGTATTGAAAAATGTTGTTAAGGCAAATATAAATTGTGTTAGTGATCATTGTTAATCACATTTTGATTTTTCCTTTTTCTTCTGTACTTGCATCATTGTGCAAATTGAGAAATCATCCAAAAGTCTTTAAAATTTTATATTTATAATTTCTCAGAACCTTAAAATTTTAAATTTGGGGGAGTGACAGTTAAGGAATATCATACTGACTAATATATTAAACAACATAATTCCAGAAAGAAGTGTATTCTCAGCCCTCAGTGGATGGCATGGTCGGCACGTGGAGTTGTTCTTCCGTGTTATAGTCAAGTGGTTTAGCCTGTCATGGTCAAGCTGTCAAGAGATGCTAGCTCTTCCTCTTGATTAGTGTTGTCAACAGGATCATTTTCCTCTCCACCATTGTTTGCTGCACCTTAGTGAAGTGGTATCTGCTTTCTTTCTTTAATAATCATTTTGGCAAGGATTAGAGTTCCCTGCAACCTGTGCTGTGCTACTGTTCACAGGAGAGTGAGGCCTACTGCAGTTCAGGGGCTGTTTGTGGTTAGTTTTATATTTCTTAAATGTCTGGTGTGTGCATACACAGAAAAATGGAATACAGAGGCAATTTTCTGGATATGACCTCTAACTATTAGCTTGGTGGTTGAGAGCCCAGGCTCTGAAGTCCAATAAACCCTGAGTTCTAGTCTTGTCCTGTCACTTAGCTCTTGCACATTGAAGTTTTTTAAGTCTGTAGGTTTTGGTTTCCTTAGCTATAAAATGTGGACAAGATAGTATCTGTCTCTTAGAAAACTTAGCTATAATTTTTACATCAAACCATCTGGTACATATACACCCAGCCTAAATATGTTATAAGGAATAAATAATGAATGTTACATTGCCTGAAGTGAATATGCTGAATACAATTTGTCTCTCATTCCTCCCACCTTTTTGAAACTTTTTTTGAACATAGGGCTCAGATATCTGAGCCTTCATTTGTTACCACAGAATATTGTTTGGACCAAATTGTAAAATAAGAATGGTGACTTTGAAACTAATCTACTTAATGCTTTTCTAAATTGCCAAAATAAATACGAGAAAACAATCATTTGCCTGTTTTAAAATAATTGAAAGTAAGATAGAAATATTTCTGTATGTATGTTTACATATCTCCCACACTGCCTGGATTCAAAAGAGGTGGCTCATAAAAGTTCTTGGCTTCTTTCTGGAAGTGTAGAATTAAAAGGAGCATATTTGGCCTAGTTTGTCAGATAACAAAAATAACTAAGTCTTATAGACTCTTTACCAAGCTGTACTGGGCAGTAGTAGATGGACTTATCAGTGGAGTGATGTAGTTGTTGTACGTTTGAGGCCCTCTTCTGGGCCTGTGTTGACTGGGAGGCCATAGTGCTAGCTGTTTGGTGGGTAACTGAGTCTTTATTGTATTCCTAAAGATTCCCGAGTCTTTGTCCCATGGAGTGGTGAATCTTGGCTCTTAACTATAGATAAACTCATTTCAGTTCTTTCCTTGGTTTGTTTCTCTGATCTTCTGCTGCGTCTCAGACCTTGAAGATTAAATTGTTGATTTCTTGGGGAGATAGAATTAAAATATTGCTTTTGATTCTTCGAACTTTAAAATGTGTCTGATTATTAATACATTCAGAATTGCTTAACAGGAAAGTGAATTTCACTTCCAGATGGCCTGACACAACTTTAGAGATCATATCTTACCTCCCAGAAGCAGAGCATCTTAAATATTTATACTTAGAAGGCTTTATTTTTAGTGGCATATTTGAAGATTAAAGCTTTGTGAAATTGACTAAGAATTTAAGTAGAAGTAAAATTGGTTTTAAAGACTGATGCATTTGGATCAGAAGAGACTAGAGACATAACCAAGTGTAACCTGTGAACCTTGTTGACTAGATTGTGGTTTGTAGGGAAAACTTAATTGAAAGAGAATCTTGAGATGTTTAGAAAATTTTGTGTATGAGTTATGATGTTAATTTGCTTATACGTTAGAATCACAGTATTGTGATTCTGTGGAATTTTCTTATTCTTAGGGGAGCCATTTCCATTTAGGGTTAAAATGTCAATATGGCTGCAGCTTTTGTATTGTTATTAGCAAAGAAATGCATATGTAAAATTAAGTGTAGCAAAATCAAAACAGCTCATAGATCTAGATAGAAAACATATGGGTGTATTTATGATACTATTTTCATTATTTCTGTATACAGTAGTGGAAAACTTATAGTATATAGTTGTGGATAAATTTTGAAAAGATATAGAAGCTCAGTTAATTTTCTGATTAATAGAAGATAATTATTTCCCTCTGCCTCCCTGCTATTTCAGAAGTATGTAGTGAAAATAATTTCATCTTGTACATACAGAGGCTGACTTCTTCATACTAGTGTTTATGATGTTCAAAAGATCTAGATGTGGGATCTAAAACTTTCTCTTTCAGTTCATTTCCTCCATATACTTAGTGCCTATATACACATGCATAATATTTGTTGAATGTATTAATGCCTTCTGCATGGGGATAGAAACTAATAGGAATTTTAGGATAAAACATGTGATTATTGAAAGCAGGCTTCCAGCCAGGCACAACAGTACACATCTGTAATCCTAGCATTCTTGGAGTTTGAGGCAGGAGGATCTCAAAATTGAGACCAGCATGAGCAACTTAGTGAGACCCTGTCTCCCAGTAGAAAAATAGAAAGGACTGGGATGTACCACAGTGCAGAGGCCTTGAGTTCCATCCCTAGTATTGGGGAAAAAAAGGATTCAAGGTAGGTTTGAGATGTAGCTCAGTAGTAAATATTTGCCTAGCATTAAAAAGGTTGGAAAGCATGAGGCTGTATAGTCAGTCATCCCACCTTAAGTGAGGTTTTGCTTTTTATAATTTCAGTGATCAACTGTGGTCAGAAAGTATTAAATGGAAAAATCTCAAAAATAAATAACTTACAACAATATGTTTCAGAAGTTATTGTTAATCCTTATTATGCATAATTTATAAAGTAAAACTTATAGGTGTGCATGTATAATACAAAGCAGTATATATAGATTTTGGTACTATCTGTGGTTTTAGACATCTATTGGAAATCTTCAAAGGAATCCCCTGAGGATAAGGAAGAACTATAGTAACGAGAAAAATAACCAAGAAATCTGACAGTCAGATCTGCTAAATCTGGCAGTGTAGGTGTCATTGCTCTTCAGAGATGCAGAATCAGGAAATGTGGGAGTGGTAGATGCCTTGACCAGGAAGTGTACAGAAAAGCTTTTCTAAGAAGGGGATAATCGTGCTGATTCTGATTCTGTTGTGTTTTGTTTTGCCTTATGGGGGATCAAACTCAGGAGTGTTCCCCAGTGAGCCGGACCCCTCCCCTTTTTAATTTTGCAGTCCTCCTGCCTCAGTCTTCCTCAGTGCTGGAATAATTCTTAAAAGTATGAGTATGGTGAAGGGCACACAGGTAATGGGGAAAAAATAAGAACCAAGATACATCATGTACAGGTACAAACACCCCATGATAAATGTAAATGAATTGTATACCTAAAATGTACCAATAAAAGAACTAAAAAAAAAAATATTAGTAAATGTTAGTAAGTTAGATCAAATACTCCTTTAGTCTCAATGATTCCAAAATTTCTTATTATACTTTAGTTTTTGTATAAGTATGCTTATTATACTTTTAAAATTTTTGTTTATTCCCTGGACTACCACAATGGCCAAAATTTCTAGACAGGAGTACTACATTTAATGGGTACAGATATTGTAGAGAGAGAAGTGTGCAAAGGAGCAGAAAGGTGAAATGAATTTAGTTTGTTTGTGAGTGTATTTTGATTAAGTATTCAAGTACATCATTTATTTTCTGAGTTAGTGTGAAAGAAAATAGTCACAGGCTTGTGTGGCTTGATATGTGTACTTTATTGTCTGGGGATGTATATTAATATAGATAAAAATATCTGTGAAGTTAAGCAAAGTGGAAAAGAAAATAGGTCGTACCATAGTTTGTAATCTTCCAAAAGTTTAATCCTAACTTTCAAATATTATTCTTTAATATTTTATTTTGTAGAAACTAAATTCTATTTTAAATTTAAATTTATTTTAATTTTTCTTCTTAGGATTGATGATAGAAAAAAATTGAGAAAAACTGATCTAGACCATAGAATCAGAATCAGGGATGATACCTGTCCCATGTGCTGTGGTATCTCCACCATCGTACAGAGTACCTGGCTCTTACTGTACGTCCCTTATTCATCCTTTCCCCTGTGATGAGAGAGGCGTCCTGTGGAGGGACCATCTGCCCCCAGTACAAGGGAATTCTCTGTGTTGGGGAGCAGGCTGCATGGTGGCAGTAAGTGGAACAGGAGGAGATGAGGCTAATGATGACTCCCCAGCCTGTACCTTGTAGGGCTTATTGGCCTAGTTTGGGAGCTTGGCCTTTCAGTTGGTAGTGAAAGAGAGGGATTGGGTTTGGAGAGCTTTCAGGTGTGAGCTTGTGTTCTGGGAAGAGTGGAACACATGTCCAGAAGATGGATTGGGTAACAAGATGGGGTGCCTGGAGACCAACTGAGAGGATTTTGTGAAAATGTGAGTGATAAATAACGTGAACTGCATGACAATGTAGGGTTCACTGAACACTGCATAAAACTGACAGGATTTGGAGTGTAGGCTGGAAGAAGGAGAACTTTAGGAAACACATAGCTCTAAGCAATGTAGAAGTAACTGGGGAGAGAAATAATCCTTTTTGGACTTGAACAGATTTTAGCTTAATATTTAGATGAATGATTTGTTTTCTGAGCTTGAGTGGCCTGATGTATGCACTTTAATTTTTTTATTAATAAAGAAAATGAATATCTTGTCCAGTTGATCTTACGGCTGATATAAAATTTCAGCAATCTTAAAATCTTTGTATGGCTCTCTGCTGCCTCTTGGTGGCAGAAGAACTTAGGAAAAAGAAATTAAAGCATCTCTTGGTTTTTTCCTAGTATGCAAAGAGTGGGTATAGTAATTAGAGGTAAAACTTTCCAGAAGTTGATGTGATTGTGTTGATGTAATGAGTGGATATTTTAAGAAATGTCAAGTTGGAATTTTATTAATTTGTTCTACTTTGATATATTAACAAAAGTTTCAGTAAGTTAGCGTTGAGTCTCCTAGGTTTTCTAGAATAAACATACAACTTTACTTTTAGTGTTCTTAAATGGCTGTAAGATTATTTTTGAACCCAACTTGATGTGGTTTTGTCCACTTACTAAGAACAAACAGAACAAACAGCTAATTTATTAGCTAGGCCCTATCTTTTTTTAAAGGATACTTGTTTGCTTTTAGCAACAGTCTATTGGGTATATTTCCTCTATTGGAGGATATGTTTTCTTACACAGAACATTAATTCCCTGTTAATTTGTTTATATTGTACATGATATTTTTATTTGTTATTGAACAAAATGAAATATTATTTATTGACTTTTGAAAGCAAGTGTTTCAATTGGCATAGAATTGTGGTTTTGAACTTAGTAAGATTCTTTTCTTTTCCAGATAAACTCCGGAGAAGTATGCCCAATCTAGCCCGGATGCCAAGTACAACAACTGTTAGCAGTAACATTAGTTCTCCAGTCACTGTGCGAAACAGTCAGAGTTTTGACTCAAGTTTGCATGGAGCTGGAAATGGAATTTCAAGAATACAGTCTTGTAGTGAGTATAATAAATTTTCTTTTCTTCTTCATTTTTTGAGTAATTTCTAATTACTTATAACACCATTAGGAAAATAACTTCTATTTCTTTTCTTCTTGCAAACACATTAAGGGAAAATTTTCTCCTTGGCACATAGTTTTTGTACTTGGCCACTACAATGTAGTATTTTTTCTTTGCAGATTCTTCTCTTTCTAGCTGTGAACCTGACATCTTTACTCCAAAAAAGCATGTTAATTTTGTCCAGCTGTTACTTTAATCTTGGTTTTCATCATTCCATAGCATGTTTCCCTACATATGTAGTTGTATTTTAGTGTAGCTAAGGTAATTTTTACCGTCTCCATTTCGCTTTCCACACATTCTGTTGTATGCTTCCTATCCATTTTCCCCAGCAGTGAGCAATGCAGTAAAAGTTAACCCTAGTGATTAAATGTTCTTAGTTTGTGTGCGGATGTGGTGTTTCCTGATTACATTTTCCCATCCATACACAAGCTGTCTGTGTGAATCGCTGAGGTTGTCTTAGAGTGGCCCTGGGAGGCAGACAAGATCCTAGCTCACATCCATACCTGGGAGGCCCAAGGTGTGTTCAGTGTAGGGGTAGAGAGTTATCAATCAGATACATAGTCTGCATCCAAAGTGATATTTAACCACCTCTTCCTCAACCCTAGCTTTCCCCAAAATGTGATATTTCATTTCTTTGTCTTAGATCCTAACAACAAAATGATAGCATTTACTCAGTATAAGGATCTGTGCTGATTTATATTTATTATCTTATTTAGTTCTACCAACGACTCTGTGATGTAGTTGCTATTACTATTTCCATTTTGTGGAGGAAGAAACAGTTTCAGACAGGTCAAGCAACAGTTTTCTTAAGGCCATGCATGCAGAGATTCAAACACAGGTCTGGCTAATCCTGGAGCTTGTGCTTTTAGCTACCATGATATTCTGACTCTACATGCTGTTCTTCACTGCCTCCCATTCTTCTTTCCTCTTTGCATTAGTCAGCTTTCTTGTCACTGAGACACAAGTCAAATAAACAATTTAAAGGAGAAGAGGTTTAATTTGCTCATGGTTTCAGTCCATGATCAGCTGACTGTAACACAGAGAGGCAAAAGAATCTGGAGGAGCAAAGCTGCTTAGTTCATGGCAGCCAGGAAACAGAACAGGGGAAGAGTCTGAGAGTGGTATTGGTGAGAGACCAGACATAGACTTTCAGACCACTCCTGTATGACCCACACCTAGAAGTGTGCTCCACCAGTCCCTGTGGCGCATCCCAAAGTCAATCAAGTTGAAACTCTACCCTAAAGCCTTAACCTTCTTATTCCAGTTTACTTCTGTTTACCACTTTGAAAATCTTCATTGCTTCATTGAAGAACATAACACATTCTCCTAAATGTCTCCCAAACAAGCCTCCAGTGGGTTAGGCTTTTGTTGTTTACCTCTATTACTCAGTGCACTTGTCGAGCAGCCCTAATCAAAAAATCCATTTTTGAATTGGGTCTTTGAATTTGGGGGGGGTCACACATGTGTAAATACCGAATAGTTTCCCTAGTGTGAGAAACTGAAAGTGTAAATAAAGATTAAAATGAATAATTGATAATTTGAAATAGAAAGAAAAGGTCCAAAGGGATAGAGGAAGTAGGAGGGGAAGGGGAAAGGAAAGAAAGGAAAGGAAAAATTATGAGAAAAGAAAAAAATAGAAACAAAATCTATGTAAATAGGGAAGGGTGGAGGGGGGAAGGGTGCATAGGGAATGGGGAAAAAATAAGAACCAAGGTACATCATGTACAGGTACAAGCACCCAATGATAAATGTAAATGTATTGTATACCTAAAATGTACCAATAAAAGAATTTAAGCAAAAAAAAAAAGAAAAAATCCAGACTGCAAAATCTGAAATATTGCCAACATGATGCTGCAAATAGAAAATTCTTACATGAAGCTTTGTTTCATGCACAGAATTATTAAGAATATTATAGAAAATTACCTTCAAAGTATATATATGTGTATGAAACAAATGAATTTTGCATTTGGAATTTATTCCGTCGCCTAGATACCCCATTATGTATATGCAAATATTCCCAAATCCAGAAAAATCTAAAACACTTCTATTCCTAGGCATTTCAGATAAAGTATATTCAACCTGTTTCAGGCTTTATTGTCTTTATGTATTTGTCTTTCTTATCAGATAATAAATTCCCTCTGGGCTCAGACTCAAGATTATTTGATTTTCTGTTCCCAGTGCCTAAACATAATGCACTCTCAGTGAATGAATGAATCCATGCCATAGAATTAGGCGTTAGGCCTTGACTTGTTAAATATTTGTATTAATGATTTTTGTAAAGACACAGAAGCAGTCTGTGGATTTGCTAATGGCATGCAACTGAGAGTGTTTCTAACTAATTTTATGTCAGGAGCTTTGACAGGTCAGATAACATCACAATGAACTTTAACTGAAATATTCAACCCTAAATATGAGTTATAAAAGTCAACAGTATGTGGTAGGACAAATATGGTTTTGACAATTACAAATATGTTACTGATTAGGAATTTTTGATGACTCAACTCAGTATGGGTGAGTAACAGTTGAGTGCCAGAAAAATGTATGTAACCCAGAATAGAATTGAATGTACCCGATGAAAATATCTGTCTTTGACTGAAATATTCATACAATAATGTTAGCTTGTCATAAGAACAAAGGAACCAATTTTAAGAGACTCCCAGTGGCCCAATTGGGACAGTTAGAGCCACAGAATACTTATAGTAATGGATTATTATCCACTAATTATTATTCACTGTCAAGAAGAGTGTTCTTATATGATAGGACAATCAGAACTTTGGTTTTGTATCTTAGGATTCTGTTTTCACAAGCATTTCTGAGCATTATAAGCCACTATTCTTTCTGCATTGCATTTTAAATTTTTGTCATGAAGACTCCTAGTTTTATTTTCTGGAAAAAGCAAAGGTTAGTTAGAGAAAGTTAGAAAGAAGGATAACATAGAAAGAGAAACATTACAGTAGTCAGAAACCTAGTTGTAGTTACTTTTCTTGTCACTAAGACAAAATACTCGACACCCATAACTGTAATGAGGAAAGGTTTATATTGGCTCACAGATTGTAGAGGTTCAGTCCATGGTCAAGTGACTCCAAGGCAGAGGTGCATGGCAGAGAGATCAAGGGAGGAAGAAGGGAGATAGACCTTTCTGGGCCATACCCCCAGTCACCCACCTCCTCAGACCAGGGTTTACCTCCCACCATCATTTTTTTTTTTTTTTGGTACTGGGGATTGAACTTGGGACCTTGCGCTTATGCAGCAGGTGCCAGAACCACTGAGCTAAATCCTCGGCCCCCACCATCTATTTTTTTAATCTGTAAACTCTAGTGGACTGATCCATTGATGAATATCAAACCCCCATGACCCAATCACCTCCCCAGAGCCCTACCAGTGAGTGCTTGAAGTTTGGGGAGACATCTAGATGTAAACCATACATATCTAAGTTTGAGTCTTCTTAATTATAAACTCGGGCATATTTTAATTCTTCATTTTTCATTTGTAAATTAGCATTATACTTATTAAATATTTTAACTAGCTTCTGTTTTTTTTAAATCAAGGGTGGTTGTCTATCTTGTGTGTAAGAGAAATAATAACAGTAGCTGGACTCTGTCCTGAAAACTAGTCTCTAATTTTATTTCAGATGGAACTGATTGGAATTTCATTGAATCTGTAGATTAATTTCTGGAGAAACTTAACAATAGTAATTGTTCTTCATTAACATGGAACAGTCAATCCTTTGTTGTTTTAAGTCATCAGTGTGTCTCAGAAATGTTTTGTAGCTTTCTGTGTAGAGGTTTTGTATATCTGTAGTTAAACTTATTTCTAGCTATGTTTATATAAATGGTATTTTTTCTAATTTTAGTTTCTTCTAGTTTGCTGGTATTTAGAATACAGTAGATTTTTGCATTTTGATAATTGTATTCAACTTTTCTAAATTCATTTATCATAATAGTTACAGAGTTTGGTATATACCTAACATAATAAGTGAATATGATCTCCAAAACATGTTCAAGAATGTTCATAAATAACCCCAAATGAAATAACCCCGTCTTTCATCAACAGGAGAATAAATTGTGGCATTCATATAGTGGAATAGTACATGTATGAATCTAATATATAATGCTGAATGAAAAAAGCCAGACACAAGAAGGAACATATTATGTAATTAGATTTGTATGAAGTTCAAAATAGGAATGCCCAGGGTGTGATGAAAAGGCAGGGGTAAGTTAATCTCAGGAGTGTTGCCTAGCAGTGGGCATGAGGGAGCCCAGGAGGTGCTGGCGACATTGTACATCTTGAGGTAGGGGGTGGCTACATGGATACGTTCACTTTGAAAATTCTTTAGGATTAATGGTTGTTATAAAGCTAATAACAGTTTACATCTGTTGGATTGAGCAGTTACTAAGTGCCAGGCATCATTCTGAGTCTTTAAGTAGATTAATTTATTTAATTTTCAAAACAACCTTTTGAGATAAGTAAATGCCATACTGTTTTTAATAGTGTTTGTAGTAAGCCATTTGTATCTACAGATACTGCTTCTGTTTTCCTTCTTATAATTACAACTGTTAAATTGGCCCCTTTTAAAATTTTCATTGAACTATCCCCAGAACAACCATCAAGAAATCATAATGTTTTCCAAGCAAACAAGGACAAATTTGTCTTATAAGAACTCATTACTATTATTATGAAATTTGCTAAAGGAAAGAAGGCTGTACTTAGAACTGGCTTCTGAATGTACAGGTGACCCTTGAGCAACACAGGTTTGAACTTTGAGTCAGTGTACCCATGAAAATTTTTTTTTTTAGATTAGTGACAATTTTGAAAAAACTTGCTGACAAAACTTGTAGCCTAGAAATATGGAAAAAAAGGTATGTCATTAATGCATGAAACAGATGAGTATTTTTATTTACTATCATAAAATATATACAATGTTAAAGTGTATCAAAATTTATGCACACAGTACTTACAGACATACATGGCTCCATTCTCAGTTTTAGAGACATATAAACAAACTTAAAGATGGTGTAATGAATCATAACTGCATCAAATTAGCTGTCATGCATGCTGTACCACCAGTATAATTCCATAAGCCATCTCCTGTTGCTACAGGTGAGCTGAAGTGTCACAAGCATCCACTGGAAATGCCCTGTGATACCGAACATCTCCAAAAGAGCAGGTCATCTCTGCAGTAAATTGCATATCACAGTACAAAGTGATCTTTTACAGTTCTTTAGTATTTTATTCTATTATATAATATGCATAGTATACAGAATAGTTATTAATTGACTTTAGGTTATTAGTCTGGCTTCAGATCAACAGCAAGCTATAAATTAAGTTTTGGGGGAGTCAAAATATCTCCTTGGATCTTGGCTGCATGGAATCTTCACTCCCAGCCCTCACATCAGCCAAGGGTCACCTGTAGTTAGGGACTTCACAGTGTTGTTGAGTAACAGAGTAGGTGGCTCTTGTCCAAGATTAAAATTTCCTGGTAATAAATGGTGTCTGGAATCTCTGTTTCCTTTATCTCCTCCTCTTAGACGGTCTAGGCCCCTCTGAGTATCACACGTTTCCTACTTCGGGTGGCAGTGGAGTTTTCTCACACAAATACCCTTTGCTCTTCTAGTTCCACCACCAGGACAGATTCAGCACAGGGTGCACAGCGTGGGACACTTCCCAGTGTCTGTCCGACAGCCTCTCAAAGCCACAGCCTACGTGAGTCCAACTGTTCAAGGCAGCAGTAACATGCCTGTGTCCAACGGCCTCCAGTTGTACTCCAACACCGGAATCCCCACCCCGAACAAAGCATCGGCTTCTGGGATCATGGGCCGGAGTGCGCTTCCACGACCTTCATTGGCAATAAATGGGAGTAATCTGCCTCGGAGCAAAATTGCACAGCCTGTCAGGAGGTAAGAATCTCTGTTTACATGACTTCCTTTGCTCTGGGAACCACCCTCACTTTTACTTTTTCTCAGTTTAGCCTCAGAAGGTCCACTATCCTGTATGGCTCAGCTCGTGTCCTCCTTTCTCTGGAAAGTGTTGGGTGTCACTGTGTGGTCAGATCCCCTTCTCTCTGATCTCATCTTTTTCCCTTCTTCACTTCATTTTTGATACACCCTTTGCTTTTTGCTTGAATTGGCCCAGTAAGCTCTATCTTCACAGCTTTAATCGTTTTTTCTTCTGCAAGTGATTTGTACGGCATATTCCCTGCCTTCCTCAGCACTTTGCTTACGTGACACTGCGGTCCAAAATCACAAGCTCCACAAGGGTGGAGGTTAGTGGATTCATTGGTTATCTGCCCTAGAACACCAAAGGCAAGAACTATGCTCAGCACAGGGTAGATGTCAAGCATGTTTTGAATTAGTCATTTTTTGTCAAAGTGTAAAAATGTGTTAGGCGTATGTGCTCATGCATGCCCCAAACCTTCCCCTCTCCCTACACACATAATTTAAAAAGAATCTTAATGATATTCAGTGGGGAGTCTTATCAGTTTATGTTAGTAAATTGGATTTGGTCTAAGTAGTTTTTTGTTTTGTCTTTGAAAATTTTAGATTACTTGAAGAGAATATTTTAGAGAAGCTCATAGTTATGATGCAACCTTCTTGAACTGGATATTCCAGAGTTTCTTACAGTAAAAAACAAAACAAAACGACAAAAAAACCCCAAAATACAAAAGTGAATAGAAGATTGATGAGAAAATAGAGTAAATACAGACAACTCTTACAAGAAATTAGGATATAAAGAGGGAGAAAGAACCATAGTAAAATCTTGAAAGGGATGTAGGAACAAGTAATTTTTCCTTCTTTATGTATTTATATGTTTATACTTTTGCTTTTATTTTCCGGTTAAACATATACTTGCTTGGATCAAAAACAAATTGAGAAACTAGAAAAATTCATAAAAAATGAAAACAGGAAAAGTAATAAAAGATAACCCATAATCCTTCTACCAAGAAAGAAATTCTTTGTCTCCACACCAAACTCCAGGGAATGTTTTCACTTCTAGACTATACGAGAAGGTCTGTTTCCTCAAACTTTAGGCAAATACTGTGTATTGTCATTCTTTTAAAACTTTTTACCAATGTGATAGGCAAATCCTTAATTATTAATGAGGTTAAAAATTTCCTCATGTTTATTTGCTATGATTTTAAAACATTTTTCATCCATGAAGGATATCAACCATTTTCATTTGTTTCCAGTTTACATGTGCACATACAACACATAGGGTACTCTGGGACAGCCTGGGCTTCCAGGCTGTAAGCATGTGCTATGAAGGCTTGAGTGTGAAGCTCAAGGTTCACTTGGGACAGCTCTAGCAGCTTGTTGTTACTGGATGGAGGAGCATAGATGGGGAAGGAGATCAAAGTAAGTGATGTGACTCATGAGACTGTTAACAGTCTGTTTCCTCTTTTCATCCCTTTATAGTTTCCTGCAGCCTCCAAAGCCTCTGTCTTCACTCAGCACACTGAGGGATGGAAATTGGAGAGATGGTTGCTACTGATGCAGTTTTATGTACTCTTTGAAGAATGGGAAAGAAGTGAAAATGAGGGTTGTATTACCTAGCTGGCTGGGTAACAGTGGATGTTGGGATATTCTTTCCCTTTTGCATTTTAACATATTTACTGCATTGTTTTTCAGTGGACCAATCACCAGAGACTAATTATTGCACTTAAATATTTGCCTGAAATACTGCAACATTCTCAAACCAGTGGTTGCAGTATTGTGACACTTAGATCTAGCAAGTTTTTGTAGAACTGCTCTGTACCTGAATACTTTTTGAAAGAATTGAGATGTATCAATAATGCTTTGCCATATGAGTTTTTTAAAAGTAACTTGTTCAATTTACTATGTGTTCTAAACATCTTTCCATTATATGTTGTGTATTTTAATACATCACATATTTACAGCTAGGTTCTATAACATGCTTTGAATTTTACTTTTTTATAGTTTACAGGAATTTTATTTTTCTGTGCCTATTTCTTTTTACATCTATGTGAACCACTATGGAACAACTTAAATTTTGTGCCATAAAAATATTTTTGTGGTAAGGTACTATTTTTTTAGCTCTAGGGATATATCAGCGAAAATACACCATACAATTTGAGACATAATTTTATGTTGAATGAGCACAACATAATCTGAAGCATTGCAAGGAGATAGCCAGACAGCAGAGTTAAGCAGTCTTGTCTTTTTATTGTTAATTTATTGTCGTACATGAGTTTCATATTTATAATGGCATCACAAGCTCATTGCACTTAATACCTGCAATGTTTGCTACTATACCACAACTGATTTTCAATACTTTATTACAAAGGATGAAACTGTAATGTTTTATTAACAATGCTTCTGGAAATGAATGCATTTTAAAGCAAATAAATCTTTTGATAGACCTTTTACAAAATCCATTTGCACTAATGAATGCTTTCTTATGGTATATGACTTAATATTTGTTACTGTGTACACTGCTGTTTTGGAATGTTCAGAAATAAAGATTCTATTTCAGCAATATCAGATCATGCGTGAATGTGCAGCATAAACATCAAGAATAACATATGTATGTTTCACAGCAATTGTCAAAATGGTTATTGTGGCCATATTTTTTGACCAGGGCATTTATATTTCAAGCCAGGATACTCCCATTTTTCAAAATTACTTTTCTTTTCTCTAAAATGTTAATGAGGAAATGCAAGGTTTTATTTTTACAGTGAGGTTTGGGTCTTATTTAAAAGGCCAGTAGAATTCAGTTAGTCTGTTGCCCAGAAGTGCATTTATGGATGAACACTGTCAGTGAAGATTTTAATATTTTGGGGGTGGTTGATTTGAAATACTTTCTCAGTATCAATAAAAAGCAAAGTACTACATTTTTTTACATTATATTTTTTATATATTGCAAAACTTTATCTTAAGTTACTGTGCAAAGTTTTGGCAAAAGTTTTTATGTTAGATTTTAAGGTGGAATGCCACCCACAGTTGTTGGAGGTTTTTACTTTCTTTATAATATGTCTTTGTATATAATCCTATTTAGAACTAAAAGGACTGTTTTTTAATAACTTGCACTTGAAATGTGAGAGGTAAGATATGAAATAAGTAATATTTCTTGAATTTTCTTTGAATGTGAAAAGTATTTTGCATAGATTATCTAACTTAATTCTAGCTATCATCTCCTATTATCACCTTTTTAAAGAGGAAGGCACAAAATCTCACAGAGCTGACATCAGCCTTTGGAAAATGTTTACCTGGAAAATAGTGAAGTTAACTTTGGAATCCAGCTTCTTGTGACTCAGACGTCTGTGTTGCCAAACTATCACGCTCTCTTCCTATGAATACATGTGCTTAGTATATAATTTAAAATTCAGCTTATATATTCTGAGGAAATTGATGGATTCATTTCAAGTCAAATATTTGATTTATGTTTAGAAAAGTCAATATACCTCCTGGGATAACAAAGATCTCTTCATCTTAGATTTTATTTTCTTATTGAGGAGAGCAAGAAAGTGCAAGCCATAAACAAGTAAGTAAATCCTGGCATGTTTAGGTCATGAGTGCTGTGAGGGATAAAAGAGTCCAAATAAGGAGAGTTGAGTGAAAATAAAATGGAAGAGAGGGCATGTTTTGAAAGGGATCATCTAGGTAGATACCATTAATGAGCTGACGTTTAGAAAAGAATTGAAGATGAGAGATAATCCTGAAGGTATTTCACAAACTTTTTCACCTGGAGTTATACGAACAGAACAAAAATAAGTGGTTATAATGGACATCCTTGTCTTATTCCAGATTTTAAAGGGAAAGCTTTCAAATTTTCCCCATTTAATATGATGTTTGCCATTGGTTTATCATAATGACTTTTATCTGATTGAGATAAGATCCTTCTGTACCTATTTTCTTTTTGATTTGTATTGTGAATAGATGTTAGATTTTGTCAAAAGCTTTTTCTGCATCTATTGAGATGATCATGTGTTTTTGTCAGTGTTTCTGTTTATATAATGTATTATTTGCATATGTTGAATCATCCCTGCATGCCTGGGATGAAGCCTACTTGGTCATGCTGTATAATCTTTTTGATGGTTTGTTACATTCTGTTTGCCAGTTTCTTGAGGAATTTTGTGAGATTGGCCTGTTAGTTCTCTTTTTTTGTTTGGGTTCTTTTCTGTTTTGGAAGGAGGAATGCTTGCTTCCAGGAATGACTGGGAATACTCCGTCCTTTTTAATTTCACTAAGTAGTTTGAGGAATATTGGTGTTAGGTCTTTCTAAAGTTCTTGTAGAATCCAGTGGTAAATCCATCAAGTTCTGAGCTTTTCTTAGTTGGTAGTTTTTTAATTACTACTTCAATTTCATTGCTTGTCACTGCCTTACTCAGGGTTTTGTATCTTCTTGGTTCAGTTTTGGCAATGCTGGAATCTGATTTTTTCTGAATTCTCCAATTTATTGGAATACAGGTTGTCAATGAAATTACTAATAATCTTCTGGATCTTGGTAGTGTCCATTGTGATTTTGTCTTTTACATTTCTAATTCCATTGATATGGGTCTTTCCTGTTTTCGGTAAGATTGGCTAGGAGTTTGTCTTTTTTGTTTACTTTTTTTTTTTTGGTACCGGGGATAAAACTCGGGTCCTTGCGCTTGTGAGGCAGGCGGCAGAACCACTGAGCTAAATCCCCGGCCCTTTTGTTTACTTTTTCAAGGAACCAACTTTTCAATTAATTGATTCTTTGTATAGATTTCTTTAGTCTCGATTTGATTAATTTCTGCTTTAATCTTTATAATTTCCTTCTTTGTACTAGCTTTGAATTTGGATTGTTTTCGTTTTTCTAGGACCTTGAGGTGCATCATTAGGTTATTTATTTGAACTTCCAGTTTTTCTGATATGGGCATTCACAGGTATGTACTTCCTTTTTAGGACTGCCTTCATTGTATCACATAGGTTTTGTTATGTTGTACTGGCATTATTGTTTGATTCTAGGAATTGTCTGAATTCTTCCTTGGTTTCTTCTGTGACCCATTGATTATTCAGGAGAGTATTATTTTTAATTTCCATGCATTTGCATACTTTTTGTGTTTTTTTAGCCATTGATTTTCATTTTCCTTGCTTTAGAATCTGATACTAGGCATGGGATACTTTGAAGTCTTCTGCATTTATTTAAGCATTCTGTATGGGCTAGCATATGTTCTATTTTGGAGAAAGTGCTATGTGTATTAACATATATTTTGTTGGGTGAAACACTATAGATATCTGTCAAGTTTATTTATTTGAAGGTTTGATTCAACTCTGACATTTCTTTGTTAATTTTTGTTTAGTTGATCTATTCATGTCAGTGGGGTATTGAGGGTCCCCCATTATAATTGTATTAGTATTTGTTTGTTTTTCTTATGTCCAGTAGTATTTGTTTTATGAGGTTAAGTATGGCAATGTTTGGTGCATATATGTTTACAATTGTTATCTCTTTGTGTTGAATTGTTCCCTTCATTGTTTCTCATCAGTTTTGGCTTGAAATCTACTTTGTCTGAAATTAGGATAGCTACTACTGCTTTATTTTCTGGGCTTCTATTGCATAGAATATATTTTCCACCTTTTGTTTTTAATCTGTGAATTTCTTTTTGGATTAAATGTGTTTCTTGTATACTGCATATTGTTGGGTTTGGTTTCTTGATCCAGTCTACCAACCTATGTCTTTTGATTGGGGAATTGAGGCTGTCACATTGAGAGTTTTACTGAAAAATATTGATTTACCCCTGTGATTATATTATTTTCCTGTTGTACAGTCCTTCTTTCCTTCCTTTCTTGCTTCCTTCCTTCCTTTCCTTCCTTCTTTCCTTCTTTCTCTTTCTTTCCTTTTTCTTTCTCCCTCTCTCCCTCTCCCGCCTTCCCTCCCCTCTCTCTCTCTCTCTCTCTCTCTTTCTTTCTTTCTTTCTTTCTTTCTTTCTTTCTTTCTTTCTTGCCTCACTGCTCACTCTGCCTGGTGTATTCATTCTATTAGACTTTTTGGCATTGTTGGCTTCATTGTCTCTTTCTAGAATATCTTCAAGACTGTTTTTAGCGCTGGATTGGTGCTCATGAATCTTGTAAGGTACTCTTTGCCCTAGAAATACCTTATTTCTTCATCAATTTTGAAAGGTAGTTTTGCAGGATATGTAAGTCTGTGTTGGAAGTTGTTTTCTTATACGGCTTGAAGTGCTTCACTCTAAACTCTGTTGGGCTTAAGGTTTGTGTTGAAAAGTCTGCTGTAATTCTGGTGGGTTTACCTTTAATAAGCGGTGTGTTGCTTTTTTTTGGGGGGGGGGTGTATCTTGGTTCTAACTCAGGACCTTGTGCTTGCAAGGCAGCAGAACCACTGAGCTAAGCCCCCGGCCCATTTGTTGGTTTTCTCTAACAGTTTTTAAGATGCTGTCCCTGTATTGGAGTTTTGGGATTTTGACTGTGATGTGTCATGGAGAAATTCTGTTTTGATCATGCTTATTTGGGGTACTATTTGCCTTACCTGTGTGTATGCTTAATTCTTTCCCTATATTTGGAAAGTTTGTTTGCTATTATTTCTGTAAACAGGTTTTTTTGATATTTATGCTGTCTTCAGACTTTTTACTTATATTAGTCTTTGCATCATCCAGCAGCTTTTGGATCTCTTTTTCATGTTCTCTTATGTTTAGGGTGTCTCTGAAGAATTGGTCTCCAACAGCAGTCCTGTGTTCTAGTTCTGACACTCTGTCATCACATTGGTTGCTTCTCCTACCCATACTTTCAATAGAATTTTGATGGATTCCTGTTTGGTACCTTTTCATGGACTCCAGTTCTTTGCTAAACTGGTCACTCATATTTTGTATTGGTTTTTATTAGTGTCTGATGTAAACTTGCTGATTATTTCATTAAATCTATTACCTGTTTAGTTATACCTTCTTTGAGCTTGGTAAGCACTTTTTTTGGTCTCTTAAAAATCTGCTCTCTTACCTTTCAAGTATTTTGGTTTTGTGTCTTTAGATTTCTTCCTCCTTGTTGCCCCATGGATCCTTTAGGGCTCTTGGGAGTTTCTGGAGGCATGTTGTTGCCTTGTCTCTCATGTTTCTATTGTTTGTTGTTTTGTTTTGTTTCATGCTGAGGTTTGCAGGTGCATATATTAGAAAGACCTTGTTGTTAGTACAAAGACCTATTTCATTAGTGTCTGCTCTTCAGTGATGCACTCTTGGGCATGGTTAACTCTAGGGCCTTTGCCTCTATCTCAAGGTCTGACTAGCTCCATTAATTTGGGAGGGAAGGATGCTGTGTAATTTGCTCAGCAACCAGTTCTCTGGTAATGGACCACAGTATTGTTAATGAATTTTAGAATGGTGCAGTAGCCTATTAAACCAATCGTGTGGTACTTCTGTTCATGAGACCCTGTTCTACTGTACATGTCCTTGAATAAAGGACAAATAAATGGCAATAAAGTGGTAAGAGCTGAGTTTGAGAAGGAGGAGGAGGCAGGGACGGGATCTTGTAGCACCTCATCTGTGGTAAGGACTTTCACTGTTATTTCAAGTTCA